TCTAGTCTTCGCATTGGATTCTTAATATTATATATATATATATATATATATTTCAAGCCTCTTGTTTCACTTCTATAGGGCTTATCTTAATCCGATTAGTTGAGTTATTTTCACAATAGAAGATAATTAAAAAAAATTAATCATTTGTTTCCTTATAATATTGACCTAATTATAACTAAATCTTTTAACTTTAATTTGTTATAATTCAGTTTTTAAAATTTTGACTAGGTTATGAATCAATTCCTAAATTTTACCTATTGTAATTTAATTCTTGAAGTTTCAACCTCTTAAATATTAGTCCCTATATTTTAAAAAATAAAATTATAAAGATTAAAAATATTTTAAAATTTATTACTAATATTTTTAAAATAAATTTTAAATATTGTTCCTTTTAATATTTATAAATATTACAAATATTAAAATATTTTTAATTATTATAATTTTATTTTTTAAAGTATAAAAATTAATATTTAAGAGGTTAAAACTTTGAGGATTAAATTGTAAAAAGAAAAATTTAGAGACTGATTTATAACTAAATCAAAACTTCATAGATTGAGTTATAACAAATTAAAGTTAATAAATTTAGTTATAATTAAATTAAAACTACAAAAATTAAATAATTAATTTTTCAAAAAAAAACATCGATCATATATATATATATATATATGTGTATGTATGTTGCTAGCTGGTATCACAGGAGTATTTTTATCGGAAAATAAAATCTTCTATGAAATATTGCTGGAGGAGAAGAAACCGTGTTGAATTAGGTGCAGACTAATTAATGATGCGACCGGATATTTTTGAATGCAGAATTTCTCATGTCTGTCTGAACCTGATTTAATTGAATGTACATGAACCTAAATGTAGGTCCAACACAAATAAATGAGAATACGTGAACGGCTACATATTAGGGAGAATCGCACTTGAAGTGTTAAAACAGTAAAAAAATTTAGTTTGGACCCAATATATTTTGACATTACACTGCATGTGTGAGGGCCCTTGATACAAATTTTCTTGAAAGCAAAAGTATATATTTAACTTTATGTGATTTGCAAATTTAGATCATTTACAACACAATATCGATGCCATAGATGTATAATACAATATCTATGGATGCACAATATAATATTGATCATATTTATTTGCATATATAACATGATGTCCATAGATATACAACTAAATATTCACACGTAGATATTTAGTTGAGAATATATGAATATTGTGTTATACATCTATGAATATTGTATTGTATATTGTGTGTGTCATTTGTATATTTTATTAAATTTACTGATTAACTAGACATGTATAAATATTGTGTTGTGCGATGGATATGGTGTTGTGCATAATCTAAATTTTCAAATCACATAAAGGCAAAATTATACTTTGTCTTTCAAAAAAAAATTACAACAAGAATCCTTAGACCTATAATGTAGTAATAAAATTTATTAGGCTTGCAATGCAAATTTTTACTGTTTTGATACCTACAATGCGTTTCCTCCTATATATTATTGCTTTTGAAAAGGCTAACAAAAAGGTTTGATTAAAACAAATTAAATTAAATTAAAGCTTTTCATGTAAGAGCCATCATTTAATATACGCAAGTCTTTCCCGGCCGGGAACATCTTTTTCTTATGATTAAAAAACACTTGAAAGAGGAAAAGGAAAACAGAAATATATTGGTATATATATATATATATATATATGTAAATATATACATAAAGGTCATTCAAGTGAATACAAATAACATATTTACATCTCACTCTCACTGGCAATCAATGCATAACTCAAACTAGTAGTAAAGTAGTGGTAGGATGATGCATAAAAAAAAATTGAAGCAGAGAAGAAGGGCCTTAGATCAGAGCAGAAGGTGAGTCCCAATAAACGGAGAAGTATTTGGCAGCAATTAATTACCAATAATTATTTAGATGCGTTAATTACTCCAACTTTGCTTTCATCAACTTCCAACCGACCCAGAAATTTAAGCGTGCTGCCTCTTAAATGTAACTACCACAGTACATGTCATTTATCCGCGAAATTAAACCTGGATTTTTTGCAGCTTTAAATCTTCATTAGCCCCCTTTTTATTCAGATATAATATCGATGAAACTCAGTGTGTGTGTGTGTGTATTGCATAGTTACATTTTGGTTAAGAAAAACAATTATATATATTTTAAATATCCAGTTCATCTAAACAACTATCTTATATATATATATATATATATTGAATCTAATAATGGAGTGTAATATATGAAAAATAAATTATAATTTTTTGTTTTGGGATACATTATGAGTGTTCAAATTCTTGACCTCTATTCATATACCATTTTACCGATCCCACTGAAAAATAAGTTATACTATTACTACATTTTGTATTAAATATTGATATTAATATTTAACAGTGTGGTAAATAAGTTATGCTATGTCAAAAACTTTGAAATTTAATCTTCAAATGTGTCTGATGGCCGAACCGAAATGGGAAAAAAACAATACATGAGTAGTTAAGATCACTAAAGCGTGAGGAAAAGAAAAGGTGAGTAAATGTCACGATGATGAGGAGGAAAACTAGTCAAGCAAAGGAAATATTGATTCCCCAACCACATGTCTTGTTTAGCCGTCACTTTCCCTTTCAAATTAACCAAACATTTTCCTTACAAAATTATTTCTTCTTTCCAGTACATGCCCTAGTTATATTAACCTTTTTCTCCATTTTAAAATTTTCACGGTTTTTATTATATAAAACAAAAGTTTGTTACGATAGCTTTCTTGAAAAAAACAAGTAAAATTATTGTTTTTTAGGCAAGAAAATAAAATCTCGGATATGTTTTACTTTTATCAAAATATCTTTATTATTATTTTATACATTTAAATAGACATTAAATATGTATATTTAATTAATAGACTGGAGTAAATTAAATTTTTTATTTTACATAAAAATAATTTTAAATATATTTATTTTTAATAAAGAAAATTAATATCAATATCATTTGAAAAAAACATATCTAATTCTCTTTTGGTTTTCCAAGTACAGACATGAACTAAGAAAACTATATGTGCGCAGTGTGACAGTGTCATACAGAATTTGAGAAATAAATGATTCTTATTAAAATCATCATATTTATATTGATGTTGATATTAATTATAAATTATATCTATATGTATATCTATCTACTCCCTATGTTGATATTGTTATTTTTTAGAAATTTATTTTATCCTTAAATGCAATAAGTGTCATAATATTTTTGAATACTCAGATAATTTTATCCTATCATAAAAAAAATATTAATTATGTATTTTATCCATCATTATGATATTAATTAACATTATTTGAGGCAAAAATATTATGTAATTTAATGAAATTTTAACTAAATAACAAACTTTTTATTAGGACATATATTTTAATTAAATGGACATTATATATGAGAAAGGAAGGGGCGTATATCATATAAAGTCAATAGAAGACCATTCTCAACCACCTATAAGATGCAAAGTAAATGAAAAGTTTGACATGATGTGCAATAATGTGGAGATAAATGATAATTAAAAGCGCCCATGATTTTACATGTAGAAATGGGAAGGGTCCCACTTGGGTGCGAGGTGGCAAGATTTAAGTCAGATAGGATCTAGAGCTGCAGATTAAGGAGAGTGTCCGTCTAATCTTTTTTAAGCACAAATTTGGGCTAATTAATTAGCCATGAGACACTGTTGGACAACTCCTTCCCCCTGCCAATAATTAATTCCATTCCCTATTCCTCAATCATCGCCATTCGTTTGCTTCCACGTACGCCAAATTAAAGTATTTTATCTAGACTACAATATTAATAAATTTAAAAATAAAAAAATTAGGCAAAACCTTGATCCCTTATAAAAATTGTGTCTTTTCAATTATACTATAATTAAATATTTTATATAAGTATTTTAATAATACTAATTGAAATTTCAATATATCATTGAAATTAATAAATTAAATAGGGCATAATTGAAATAAAAATTATAAAAATGACCTAACACCTTATATTTTTAAATCAAGTAGGACTTTTAGAAAATTTCATGTATATAATGGTCCAAAAGGAGTACTATTTAAACAAGCATTCTAAATTTACACAACTTGTTTCTAATTTGTATAAAATATGAGACGTACGTACGCTTATAGTTTTTTAAAAATAATATAAAAGAATATGATTATATATAGAGTTTAGTTTGCATCTGATGAGTATTAGAATTTGGTTGTTTGAACAGAGTTATAGATGAGCAAGTTGCATACGTACAAAATTGATAGAATTGTTTAAGAGATAAAGCTTAGAAAATATTAAAGTTGCGAGAAATATGAGTATGAAGGAGTTGCTTTGTTTTTAAGTGCCTTTTTAGTTGAAAGGCATTTTAGACGTTTTGCATTAGAGATGCTTAAACCCGTAAAGAGGAGCTTGGGAAGAGGGTGTGACAGAGCTTTCGCCGACGTGGATAGTTCAACCACAGAAAATGGAGGAACCACTTGAAAACCCAGAACCACCTACTGCCTCTGGCTAGCTTCGGACACACATGCACTGTTCTTCATTTACTTCTCTTGCTAATATGCAAATTGCTCTACCTTTCATCCCAAGTCCTACTCATCAAATATATATATATATATATATCAGCGCGCTCTTCTCTTGTAATTTACGACCAAATTCGCTTGCAATTCCTGTTTTTGACTTTTTAGGTACAAATCAACCGCATGAAGTATTAAGTAAAACCTTCTAATTAATTACTTTTATAATCTCCCCGCGTGTTTTTTTTTTTGTTTCTAGTGTTCATCAATCACCGATGAAGCGAAAATGTATACACTTAAATCTAGATTATGTAATGCTATCGCATATAATATATATAAAAGAGAATATTTATATTTAGTATGACTGGCAGTTTGACATGAAAATATGACAAGAAAAAAGAAAGGGAAGACAGGAGAATTGAGAAAAGGACAAAATAAAGGTAGTTTGAAGCTGCTGGATTGAATCAACTTGAGTTGAAAGCGAAGAAGATACACACAGATCACAGATGCTCCTCGTCCGATAGAAGTGTCGTCTCAACTCTTGCTTCGATCCTTGGATTCCTCTCCCTGTCTCTCTCTCTCCCCACCTCTTCTCAATATCTTATACATCCCTCCCCCTCCTCCTGCATTCTCAATCTCGCCATGCCTTCTCCTTCCTTCCTCTCTCTCCTCTCTCTCCTCCTTCTCTCCTCCTTCTTCTTCCCACCTACCAATGCCACCGCCCCTCGTCGCTTCAAACAAGCCCCTCGATTCTACAACTCTCCTACATGCCCCACCTCCGACGACGATGACGCAGCCGTCCACGTCGCTATGACCCTCGACCTCTCCTACCTTCGTGGTTCAATGGCCGCCATCTTCTCCATACTCCAACATTCCTCCTGTCCCGACAACATCGTCTTCCACTTCGTCACCGCCGCCTCCAAACCTTCCTCCTCCTCCATCCTCAACCGCACTCTCTCCACTTCCTTCCCTTACCTCCGCTTCCAGATCTATCCCTTCGACGATACCTCCGTCTCCGGCCTCATCTCCTCCTCCATACGCTCCGCACTGGACTGCCCTCTCAACTACGCACGTAACTACCTCGCCAACCTCCTCCCGCCGTCCGTGCGCAAAGTCGTCTATCTAGACTCCGACTTAGTCCTCGTGGACGACATCGCCCAGCTCGCCGCAACACCACTCGGCCCCGATTCGGTTCTGGCCGCGCCGGAATACTGCAACGCCAATTTCACATACTACTTCACGCCGTCGTTTTGGTCGAACCCGTCGCTGTCGCTCACGTTTGAGGGTCGGAGGGCATGTTATTTTAACACCGGCGTGATGGTGATCGATTTGGAGCGATGGCGCGTGGGAGATTATACGAGGAAGATAGAGGAGTGGATGGAGCTGCAGAAGAGAATGCGGATTTACGAGCTGGGATCGTTGCCTCCGTTCTTGCTGGTGTTCGCGGGAAATATAGCTCCAGTGGATCACAGGTGGAACCAGCATGGGCTCGGCGGAGACAACTTCCGAGGGCTGTGTCGGGAGCTTCATCCTGGCCCGGCGAGCCTCTTGCATTGGAGCGGGAAGGGAAAGCCCTGGGCACGACTGGACGCGAACAGGCCTTGCCCATTGGATGCGTTATGGGCTCCTTATGATCTTCTCGACACGCCTTTCGCCTTGGAGGCCTAGTCCTCCACCCATCTTCCTCCTTGTTTGTCAATTTTGTTTTCCATAAATTCAAAATTCAAATACCTTTCTTGAATCAGAGATGGCGCCACAGTCACTCGGGCTTTTTATGCATCACGGTGAGATGCTTATGATTATCATTATTTTTGTTAACGTTGTACAGTCACCTACATATTCTGCTAGTGTTTTTTTTTTTTTTGGGAGCTAGTTAAGTGTATGACTCTTATAGATGGAATAAATCATGCACACGAACTCATCACTTATTTTTGTAGTTCACGGAAAGGATCGCAGGCAATTCATTTCATTCTGCCAATTTTTTTGTGGGATCCAATTATGAGACCCATTATTTGTGTGCCATGAATTTAGTCTTCACATCCGCTCCCCCGAGCAAAGGAACACATGCGCAGACCATAAATAATAATATTACATCTCCAGATTTGATAGACTACATCTGGTCCTGTGAGGAGACATTATTCGATGCAGTCAAATGATTTCGTGCGCGCCCCTTTCGATTACTTTAATTCAAATAATCATTATAATCAATAAAATACCCATGTGTAAGAATTTTTTATGACATGTTAAAACTTTTGTTGGAGTCAAACACACGATTTAATTTATTTATAATATATTCCTAGTTTTAAGGGCATCGGATCTCTCATACTGGTATATTGGGTGTGGATGTGAGATCCTAGACCTCTGCACGAGGACGGTGTGAAATTGTTAATTTAATTCATAAATGTTATGAAAATAAGAAAAATAAAAAAAAAATTGAGAGAGAATAAATAAAAAGTTCTTCTTCATCTTCTCAAACTTATCATCATTTAATACATGCCATGCTACAAAAAACTTAAATCTACATAATTGTAGAATATATAATAACTGGAAGTTATGTATTAATCTTGGAAAACTAGGTCCCAAGAAGCTATTCATGTTCTAGGTTATGAAGTTTTCAATATAGAATTTTAAAAGACAATTCTTAAGTGTGATGGACATCCACGTTGAAATATAATATTCACAAGAGAGTAAAAGATTTCTGAGGAGGATCAACGTTTAAAAACGACGAGAGGTATGGTAGTGTATACTCAATATTTAGGTCGTTCATACATATATTGTATATGGCAAATGTGAATAAAGTAATAGCGTTTCTTCTTTTACAAAATATTGAGGAGCACCAGTTCGTGTTCACTTTGGCATATATTTAGTTTCACCTATACACATCAACAAAATGATATGAGTTGGATTGTAAACATGTATAATTCCTTCTTTCATTTTTTTTTTTAAAGTACAAACTCCATCTCAGCGTCATTTTCAATGCTATTGAGCTTAAGAACGCGATCGAACAGCATACGGAACTAGTTCGAGTACATAGAACTTAAGAAATCTTACACCAGTGATGTGAACAAAGCCAATAAATGGAAATACGTACACACGCAGCAAGGACTAAATGAAAATAGTGACCAACATTTGAACAGACACGGAGTCCAGGATTGGTTGAGTCATAAATATGGCAACTGCCAAGTGTCCAGTATTTGAGTACATATTCGTTGGTAGCACTGTTTCATTGCAAGGAGACGGGGAGAAGATGGAAGAGAGAAATAGCCAGAGATTGTTGGCCCAACAATCTAAGGAGAAAAACCAGACACCAGCTTGGCATTCATTGGCCCATGGGCCAATGACTTTGGGTCCGTCTTAACTCATGTCTCGACCTCGGCCGATTCAAACTGGTCAACACGCAATCTAACTAGTAGCCTTATTTATACATGCTTGCCTAATCCGCCTGAAAATTCAACTTCTTATTTAATTTGAGATAACTATCTTACCTACCATAAAGTAATATGAATATTAAATTTTTTATATTAAATATGTTTAAGAATAGTATACATCATTAAAATAGTTTAAATTATTTAGTTAGATACTTCAAAAGCTTATGTATTTATAATTTACTCCATTTAATTTTATTTATAGGTCATTTTTATCAACCTTATTAATACAAATATAATCAAAGCATAAGGACTAATTGTAAATAAAATGTCAAAACTAACCCTCAAATGAAAAAGCAAAAGCTACAATCAATCAATATAATTATGAGTGTGAGGGTATTTTGAGAAGTTCATTTTGAAATGCAAAATCATCATTAGCAAGTGACTAATACTGTGGCTCATATTTTCCTTCTAGAGTGCGACTAATAAAGCAGACCAGAGAGAGTATCTTCTAATCTTTAGATGTGAAATTTCTTTTATGTTTTAATATTCTCCATATTACTTTTTTTCCCCTTTTCTTTTCATTTTTTTAATCTTAGAAACCTTAAATCTATTTAATTATTCCTCCTCCTCCTTTTTTTTAATCTCCTATTTTTTTTCTCTTTCTCTCTCTCTCTGTTTTTTTTTTCCTTTTTTGGGTTCCCGATCGAATGGCTTGTGATATCATGCTAAATTTTTTATATTAAGTATATTTAAGAATAACATATTCTACCAAAATAGCTTAAGCCATTTAATTAGATACTTTTTAAGTTTATAGATTTATAATTTATCTTTTAATTTTTAGATGTAAGACTTATGTTACGCAGTAATTATGAATAGCAAGCATGAGAATTGAAAGCAAGACCTGTGATTGGTAACAATAGTGGTTACAACTTATAGATTGTTATAAAAGCCAAGTTATACATGTCAACTTCTTTATCTTTCACATCCTTTCCTTGTACTGAAGGCAACATTTAGAAACGAATATCAATTTCACTTTCTTTTCTTAGTGTATATAAAAAACCAAATCGTGAAAAGCGCAATTGACAAACACCAGGTTTTATATATTTTTATTGTCTCTTTCGATGTCAGGTTCCGTATTTGTATGTCTATATCTCTTTAACAGGACGATGTTCAAACTACAGAAAAAAAATTATAATAGTTAAACCTGTGGGTCTCTCCTGGGTTGTTCGAGGCTGAATATGGAATGCGTCAAAAGTAATTCGTCTTGATCGATAGTTAGTAATTGGGAAGTTAACAAGTCTTTCTAACCAATATTCACCAATTTTAATGCATCTGGAAACCCAATCTTCGAAAGACCTGAAAGAGAGAAAAAAGGGAGATTCTAATATGAAACCCGGTTTCCCCCTCCCTTTTCTTGAGGGGCGGGTTTCCTTCCTTTATCATTTTTTATTATCTTTTTATTATAAATTTGAACCGTTTAAATTAAATATATATTTTTAAAAATTATTAAATTTAATTTAAGGTTCCAGATCTGTTTTAGTTTTTTCACTTCTCTCCTTTAGAAAGGAGAAAATCCAACCCCCTTTCTTTTGGCCCATAAACACACGCTTTGTAAAAGACGTACGACATACTAAAAAAATAATTTAGTGTCTGTCAAGACTCAAGAGACAATTTGTCATTTTTTTTTAATTGCTATAATATGTGCGCCGTTACGTGCTTCATACACAGAACACACTCTTGTAAATATTGGCTCAATTTATTTATTTTTTGATAAATTCTATAAATTCCAGCAGTGCTTTTCCCTGGGTTCCGACCATTTCATCTCTACCCACCCCTTTTTTTTGGGTGAATGTACCCACCCTGTTTTTGGGTAAAACATTGAACGATAGTTCTTCGAAATTTAACATTTCAAAACCGCTACACCACTCATTTAATTCTTTTTAAGCATTGCATATACTTAATATATATTTTAAATTAAATTGAATGAGTAAAAGTTTGCGCACAAATGAATATTACGGATCTACGGTTACTACCACAAAATATATTGGAAGCCTCACGCGAAAAGGTGAATTTTCTATGTCCCCTTAGTCATGAAAATTATATATTAATTATGTTTTAATGTAAGAAACATGGCAGAAATGAATTAGTATCAGATATACTCTCTTCGCTAAAAAATATAAGGAATTTTTAATCGAATCTCATCCTCCAATACAGTAGTTACGTATCTATTTTCAAATTAATCACATTTTTTCATATTTATCTCTATTAAATATTTTACAATAAATATAAAGTCATTCATTAATAGGGACATTTTTGAAAAAAAGACAATAATTATACCTCGAAAGATTAAAACTGCCTTATATTTTTGCATCTAACTTTTTAAAAAATGTCTTATAATTTTGAATGGATGAAGTAAAATTTATGGTAAGTTGTAACCATAGATAGATTCATGCTTCTATGCGTAATCAGCAGTATTTGAATACGAGGGCCTCTTAGTTAAGTCTTGATGTCATTGTTCTTTAATTTCGATGAAGATGAGATCTGCTAATAATGTGAACAACACGATTGAGTCTCCAAACTTTTGTAACGCACAAGAATCCACCTAATGTTGAGATAGAGCAATAATAGGTATTAAACCTCAAGAATGAGTGATGATGTGATTCCTAAAAATCCAAAGGGGGTTTTACTTGTTATGATCTTATTAACCTAGCAGAAATTAGCCTTCCACCAAACAGAATGAAAGCACACCTCCTTTATTTTTAACATTATAAAAAAAGAGCATGTACATTTTTGTTTGTATTTTGAATGATGATAATGTTGGGGCCAAGACCATTACATTCCAAGAGGAGAGGGTCTAAGGTTTAAATTCACTAGACCTTCACGATATAGTGAACCAAGGTTAAAATCTTTATTAAAAAAAGTGTTCACATTGATTGACTGTGTTTTAAGTATAATTATCTTTAATAGAAAAATACTCATAAGTAATCAAAATAATAAGGTCTAAATCTATAAAAGGATGTGAGCACCCATATATGAGTTAGATATTATATCTTAATCCAAAACCTAAGTCAAGAATTATTTTAGAGGAAATAATTTTTTTAAAAAAGTAAGGTGAGTTAGGTTTTGGTAGTAGGAAACCTACCAAAGCCAAAATATACCTTCAAAATAAAAAAAAAAAACGCTTACAAAAACGGATGAAAGAATTCCTAGTGTTTTTATGGTTATGCATAATTCTTCGAATCACTTATGGGGTAATAGTCCCCTGAGGCCCAGAGAGAATGTAGTCAAATTAAAAATAATCACTTTAAAGATTTCCATCATTTTCATACAAATCCCTATTATATTTATATTTAATACAAGACTTCTCGGCTTCTTCCTACACACCAAATTACGTTTATTGACAAATGATATATCTTAACAAAACGGGTTTGCGATGTTAAGAAAGGCATGTCTTTTAAGTTGGAAGGTGGGACCTTGGAGGAAGCTACCATGCAATTTCCTCTGAGCCACAGAGGTACGTAAGCTTTATTGAAATGTCTCTTTTCATCCACCGTCTCCCTACTCCCTCTTGGCTGCAGTTTCATCGCAACTTCATCCTCAATAACCCAATCCCCTTCTTCTTCTTCGCCATCATCATCACCCGCATCCTCTATCTCAATCGCTTTCATATATAAATTACACCGATTCTTACAGCTTCCAACACGCCCTCCTTCTCGCCAAACATGGCGTCCGCCAAGTGGTTCTCCAACACAAGTCTCCGCCTCAGTCTCGGTCGCTCCAAGTCAAAGCCGGCCAGATCAAGATCATCCAACTCCTTAACCTCTCCCACGTCATCATCATCTTCTACCCCAAAGCCCGTCACCAGAGAGGATGAACTGAGGGAGGTGTTCCGGCGTTTTGACGGTAACGGAGACGGCAAAATATCGGCCCTTGAACTCAGGTCGTATTTCGGGTCCATTGGGGAGTACTTGTCCCACGAAGAGGCCGAAGGGGTGATCCGCGACCTTGATTCAGACGGGGACAGTCTTCTGGACATGGAAGATTTCATGAAGCTGATGAAGAAGGAAGAAGGCGATGAGGATCTGAAGAAGGCGTTCGAGATGTTTGAGTGGGAAAAGGGGTCGGGATGCATAACCCCGAAAAGCTTGCAGAGGATGCTGCATCGTCTGGGAGACGACAAATCGTACGACGAGTGCGAGGCAATGATACACGCCTTCGACGTGGATCGCAACGGAGTCCTGGATTTCAGTGAGTTCCTCCAAATGATGGCCTAATAGTTGTAATACATATATAAATATATACATACAAGCACTCCAAAACCAAACCAGAACAAGTACAGTCCATGTCCAGGTCTTGGAAAGCTGCCTGTTCATCACCTTATTATCATATATATATATATATATATATATATATATATATGTCCCACCTTCTGAACTTCTTTTTGCAAATATTATGGATTGTTCTTGTATGTTCCTACTCATCAGTAAGTCTTGTTCTTAAATCATTAATGTATAGACATTCTCCATATTTACGCTCAATATATATATATATATATATATATAGTGATTCCGTTGCAACCCACGGGTAGATTTTAAGTTTGACTCATGACAAACACACTATTCTTAAAAATTATTTCACAATACTGTATTGATTGTGGGACAGTTTTTTAAGATTAAACAGACTTGTTCTGTAAAATTAACAGAGCATAGAACAACAGAAACTAATAGAATAATACTCAGGCAACACAACACAATTATAAAGGTGGAGGAGATAATTGATTTGAAAACTCATGAGTCTAGCACTGAATTCACAAACTCCCTAGTATTTATAGGTATAGAGCAGACAACCTTCGGACAGCTTCAAAGCATGATTTAATTATCAATTTTATAAATAGTATGGTTCATTACACGAATTCATTTGGAGGTTTGTGAACCTTGCATTTGAAGGCAATTAAAGAAATCAATTCTTAGCTTTAATTGAAAGTAAACTTAAGTGAATGAACATTAGGTCTTTGTTACTAGGAGATGATGAATCCATGAAAACATATTTTACAAAATTAATTCAATGATATTGCAAAAAAATAAATCCATTAAAAAGAACTTAATGCCTCCTTAACTTACACACAAGAGGAAAAATTAGTTATTTTTAATAGCAATTGCCCTGTAGACAGGTCTTATATAAAAGAACTCACTTTTTTTTTTCAAGTCCATTTATTAACCTATGTTTATTCATTAGCATATATATATATATATATATATATTAGAACCTTTTTTTTTAAGGGTAATGTGGGACTTCTTTTCCTGACACACTCGCAATTTCAAGTTTCTACTTGACTTCCCATATAAGTTGGTTAGGGAGGGAACGGGGCTCAAATGTTCCCAAATAATGGATCTTGAGCAACATATATATGTGACTATATCTCTTTTGTAACTTAGGGACAAAACATTTATTGTAGTACTTTATAAAAGTTCAAATTATAACTTTGAAGACTATTTTCATACAACTAAAAAGATTTTATTAAAATCATGAGAATTTGAACCTTGAATCTGATCTGCATAAATCCCCTGGTCCATTGTGAACATGCTATCAGGTCCACTCTTAGAACTGAAGCAAAGTGGCGACTGAAAAGAGGACACACATTATAAAGCAACCCTGCCATCCCTTTCAGGTTTTCAGCTTTTTTTTTTTTTTTTATCGAAGGTTTTCAGCTTTAATTGTCTTTTAAAAGATATACTTCTCTTGGCTAATTACAAGGAAAAGTTTTAAAATTTTATTTGGTTCTAAATATTAGGTAAAGATGTACTCGATGTATCTTTATATATAAGATATTTTTAATTTAATTTTTTACATTAATAAAAATTTATTATTTAGTTAAAATTGTATAAAATTACAATAATTTTTTAGTTTTGTTCTTAGTAATATCATAATTAATATCATGGTAATGATAGGTCAAAACACAATTGATGTCTCTTCCATTTTTCAAAACAAGGGCAAAATCATCTAATTATTAAAAAAATATCATGGCACTTCTTATATGTAGGAGTAAAATAAACTTATAGAAAACACCTTATATATATGGAAATGGAAGGGGTAGTAATTAACTTTTTTCTAATATTATCCTTTATAATTGCATCAGGTTGTAGTTATGTTCCTAAAAAAATTTATTGTAGTAATTAGTTTTAACGAAGGGTAAAGCTGAAAAGTCAATTTTTTTTAACAAAAGGGTTAATGGGCAAAACGAATCTTGGAGTATTGTGTGAAAAGTGTCCTTGAATCCTGAATTCTTAAAATGTATAAAATGAGCTCTAAACTTTTAAATTAATAGCAAATTAATCCATACCATTACCTTTTTGATAATGCCGTTATTGTTCATCATGAACTCCTGTCAAACGCTAACATAGCAATCCCTTACTAATGTGTCATTTGTTAATTAGTATCACAGACCCTAAACTATTACGCGAGTACCTTCCTGAATCCTAAACTTTAACATTTTCAAAAAATTACCCCTATCGTTTATGTATAGAACATTCACTACTAAAAAAATATAAATTAGTGAGGAAATTTAGTGAGGGATCGTCTATTCCTCTCTAAAATGTCAAATTAGCGAGGAAATTAGTGAGGAATATTAAATTCATAGCTAAGCTTAAAATTAGCGAGGAAAAATAGCGAGGGACAATCAATTCCTCTCTAAAATAAAATAATTAGCGAGAAAATAGCGAAAAATATTTATTCCTCTCTAAAATATGATAATTAGTGAAGAAAATAGCGAGGGACTATTAATTCCCTTCTAAAATATGATAAATAGCAAGGAAAATAGCGAGAAAAATTTATTCCTCTATAAAATAAAAAAATTAGCGAGGAAAATAGTGAGGGATATTTATTCCTCTCTAAAATATTATAATTATCGAGAAAAATAGCAAGAAAAATTTATCCCTCTCTAAAATAAAATAATTAGTGATGAAAATAGCAAAAAATTATCAATTCTCTCCTAAAGTAAGATAATTAATGAAGGATATTTTTTCTCTCTAAAATAAGATAATTAATGAAAAAAATTATAAGAGATTGTTAATTCTTATCTAAAATAGATAATTAGTGAAAAAAATAGTGATGCATATGAATTCTTTTGTAAAATAAATTTAAGTAATGGTATGTTTGTGTGCAATTTTTTATTTCTCTTTCTAAAATATTCTTGATATTTCTAATATTTTTTAACATAAAATTATTATTTTTTTCATAATTTTTTTTGGAAAAATTTTGTGTCTGGCGCCAATATTTATTCTTCTCCCTCTTTTTTTTTTCATTACTCTCCCTCTAGTTCAGAATGTGAAGGCGGAAAAAACAAAAAAAAAAGAGTCCCTTCTAAAGGCAAACACTGTGTAGCACTAAACCTAACTCGCCTCTTTGCACTTCACCAAGTTCACACCATTTCTTCCTCCAGCTCTGCTCCTTGGTTCCTCCTCCGACCTCGCCACTTTGCTCCTCGATTCCTCCCGCTTTGCTCCTCGGTTCCTCCTCTAGCGACATCATTGTGGGCCTCCTGTTCCTCTTCTAGCGACAGTGTTCTCTAGCTAAAGGTACTGCTTCACCTTAATCATTGTCTTCTCCTCGAAAACACATAGAAACAAGTTGGAAGCTTAGGTTAATGAATCTCGTTTGAAAGTAGATTCCCTTCATTAGCTTTTTCTACAAGCTTTAAATGTAACCAACCTGCCAGATAGAGGAAACATAACTTCAACTCATAAGTTGCAGCTGAAATCATGACTTTATCAAACATATATAATCTCTTCGTTTCTGTCTCAAAGATTTCTAGCATGTGATATTTTGATGAATATAAAGATTCTTGCTTTCTTGTTTATTTTGTTTTGTAAATAAAGTGAAACTAACATTCAAACATAAGTGCTTAACTCTTGAGTTTGATATTCAGTTGCTTTTCTCTCTTCATTGTCTATATTGTGTACATGTATTGGTGTATTCTTTTATTGCTTGCTCTTTGTTCCTTACTCTACTAGTAGACTATTTTCTATAACTTCTGAGCTTATGTGCTACTTTTAATTTAGAGATTATATCATTGGGAGGAAAATGAAACAAAGATAATAAGATATGCCTTTGAGGCCATTGGCTCTAGACGACTTAGTGATATTCTTGGTAAAGAAAGGAAAAAGCATAGGGAAAATGAAAATTATGTTCCCAATTGGATAAGTGGAGCTCACTGAAATGAACTTGTGCGGTATTGGAATACCCTAAAATCCAAAAAGATTTCAACAATCAATTCAAACAATAGATTGGCAAATCCATCTCTTCATACAGGAGGATCTATTCCCACACATTTACATGCTGCAAAATTGGTAAGTTCTAATTTATATAGCTGTAAAATCTGTTTCTTTGCATTATTAATGATTTGATGCTAATTATATAACAATGATTATTACATTTATAGGAAAAAAGCACCGGAAAGAGAGTGATGTTTCCCAATTATATGTGACTACACATAAGAAAAAGAAAGACAATCAATGGGTTGATGAGAAATCAAAAAACACCTATGTAAGTTTAGATTCTCAAAAACTAAAATGATATCTTCATGTTTTGATTATTTATTAATTCATTTGAACTTTTTAGGTGACATTCAAAAAAAATATTCAGCAAGCTGCTGGAATTTCTGAAGAGATTATTGAGGAGCAAGATGGACAACAACGAAATAGTGATGCTGCTGTAGAACTTGAAAATGAACGTGCAGGAGAACAGCCAACCCAACAAGTTGCAGACGATGACTTTCTTCAAACTCAAGCCTCTCTCCCTTCAGAAGAAGTAGCTCAAGCATGGTTGAAGGCTATCGGGGGGACAAAAAAAGTGGTAGAGTTTATGGATTAGGATTACATGCTGCTGTAGTATGTGGCTTTGCTGGCAACTCTGTATTCCACATTAACAATGCTCCATCTCCTGCTGCTCCCCATTCTACAACTGTAGATAATGTTGTTCAAACGCCTGCATTTGAAGAAGCTGTTAACCGTGCTGTAGAGGAAAGGGTACAACGTGTTCTTGAAGAAAAGATGAACTAAGCATTAGATCAAAGATTGTCAATATGAGACTTTCAATACGGCAAGACATATTTAGAGTTATTCGAACTCTAGGTGAAAGGGTCTTAACTCCACAGCAAAATGCCAATAGCTCTAATTCCTCTAGGCAACAAGATTCTAATCATGATTGTGGAAAATAACTTATGTATGAAGTGTTTTGAACTTGCTGTGTACTTTTTTTATATTTTGCATAACTCTTTATGTATGAATTAGCTTGAACTTTATGACTATAATTGATATAGTATCACATTTTTGTTATATTAATGTGATTATTGTTTATGATTAAAAATTTGGATGGATGATTAGCTGTGTGGTTATATAGGAACCAAAATATTAAAACTTTAGAATTTGCTAAATTAAATTAGTGAGGGATTATTGGAGGATTTTGTCAAAAAATTTTATAGTTTTAGCGAGGGATTTAGCGAGGAAAAAATTCCTCGCTAAAACAAAATTAGCGAGGGAATGGCGAAGGTAGAAACAAAATTGCAGGGATTGGTCTCGCCAAAATGTTGAATTATAACCTCAATTAGCGACAGATTAGCGAGGACAGGTTCGTCGTTAAGTTTAGCGAGGGAATTAACCCCTCGCTATTGCCTCGCTAAATGAAAAAATATATCCTTAAATAGCGAGGGATTTAGCGAGGGATATATCCCTCTCTAATTTAGTGAGGGATATATCCCTCGCTAAAATCCCTCGCTACATTTAACGAGGAATATATGTCCTCACTAAATCCCTCGCTATTTAGCGAGGGGATAGCCATCCGTCGCTAAATTTAGCGAGCTTGTTTTTTGCAACGAATTTAGCAAGGGTCTGAATCCCTTGCTAAATAGTATTTAGCGAGGAAATATGGGCATTTAGTGAGTGATTTTTCCCTCGCTAAATCCTGTTTTTCTAGTAGTGATTAACTATTATGTTAACTCTGACTTATTCTTATTTTGAATAATATTTATTTATTTAATGGTAAAAACTTAAAATCCTATTAGAAAAGAAGTTTAAATATCAAAGAGTTTTAATTAATTGGTAAATTTGGGTTTTAAATTTATTGATAAAATTGTCAGCTTTCGCATCTATCATCTATAAAATCCTATGATACTTAAACTTCTTTTCAAATGAGATCCTAAGTTTTCACCATTAAATAAATAAATATTGTTCAAAATAAGATTAAATCAAAGTTATAAAATATATGGAAGCATGAGATAACAAGCATTTGGAAAACATTGCAAAAAAGGGCAAATAATGTCATTTCAAAAAATTATGGGTCATTCGCCACGGCTAATGATGCAATTACTGCGATGAACTACGCTGATACTAATTTGGTCTACATCATAGTCAATATTTCATACATAAATAGTGGGGGTGGTAATTTGTTTAAAATTTTAAAGTTTATGGTCAAGGACGCTACTCGTGTAATAGTTTAGGATTTGTAATACTAATTAATAAATGACATATCAATAGGGGACTCCTATGTCAGCATTTGACTGGGGCCCATGGTGAACAATAATGGTGTTAACAAAAAGATAACAGTAGGGTTTAATTTGTTATAATTTTAAAATTTTAGGGTTTATTTTGCTTATTAATCCATTTAAGAATGTTAACTATTACTTCTTAATAAGAGTAAAATTGATTAATTTTATCTTATAATTAGACCTTGAATGTATAAGGGGAAAATAGTGATGAAAGACCATTGAAAGAAATTTATATTAATCAAGAACTAGTTGTTATCAAAATTTAAATGGAAAAAATCCCAAATGGATAGCTGTTAATTTAAAAAAAATTATTGTTAAAACTTAAATGAATATTTATTAATAAAAAATTAAACTAAATTAATGAATATTCATTTAAATTTTGATGATAAGCAATCCTTAACTAATATAATATTTTTTTAATAGTCCTTCATTGATATTTTTTCAATGTAAAAACTATAGTAAATGCCACAATGAATCCGTGGGAATGGCCATATCCAAATTGCCCTTGAAAATTTCGGCCAAAAAAAGGGCCTTTGAAAACGTGACCTGCAAAAGTTAAATGCATATCCCCAATATTCCGTGAACCTTTTTTCACGTCACTTCAAATTAGTTTGCAAATTTGGCATTATGATTCGAAACAAGATCGCTATTCCATCTGTGAGCCGCTTTATCATTAATACTATGATGCTGTCATTAGTTTAATAGTGGCTAGAGAAAAATGCCAAACCCAAAAGTAAATGGAAACAAATCAAACATATGTCATACCAGCATGAAAATTTTAAAGGAATAACATTTTGAGCCCATAACATCGATCCGCGTCTAAGCCTTTAATAATCTCTCAGCACATATGCACACTTTGAGAAGGTTGGCTCAACTACATTGTTTTCTTAATCATAATTAAAGTACTTTTTATGTACTTTTACTACTAAAAAATAACTTATATATTGTGTCTTTTATATAACGATTATTTAAATAATTATTATATAGAGGAGGTAAGATTTTATTTCAGAGATTATATAACAGTGATATAAAATAACTGTTATATAATCTCTTGATTTATATAACAATTAAAAGCATATCCATTATATAGTCTTTACTTTTTTTAAGGTTAGCATCTGAAAATTATTTAGTGATTGTTTATAAATAACTGCTAAATATATTCTAAGACTATACAGCAGTTATTATAAAGTAACCATTGTATAGTATTTTTTAATATAAATACTATTTAGCAGTTATTTCATAATCATTAAGTAGTTTCAATTTATTTAACAATTATTTTGAAATACCGCTAAATAGCTTCATTTAAAAACTCTTTGCTTTCTCAAATATTCATAGGCATTAAAGATTCTAACTCTTCAAACATCTCTTCCTCTCGCAAACCTCCCCCATTCTCTACAAAACCACTCCCATATTTGTCATGAATTTTTGGCCAAGCCCAGCCTTCTTCTGCCGTCGCTGTCGCCTGTCATGGGTTTTTGCTTTAATTCTATGGTGTTTTCATCATCTTCATGTGCTATCATTTCCTTGTCAAAACTCTTCTCTCTTCTTCAATATTTGAGACTAAGATTAGTGATTTTTATCCTTAATATCTATCCATGATCATTTTTATTCTATTTTGTTTCATTCTTTGAATATATATAGTATATAAGTGAATGCGTTTGGCATTGTTGTACTCCTCTATTTCTCTATTTTTTTAATATAACAAATGATATATTTAATAGGAAAAATTAAATCTTTTAATTCTTCAACTTTTAACTCATTTGTAACTCAGTCCCTCAACTATAATTTACTGTGACTTAGTCCCTCAACTTTTGATTCACCTATAACTTGGTCCTTATTTTTTATTTTTTTTAAAAAATTTCTTATCAAATAAGAGGGATAAAAAATGCTCATATATTATTTTAAAACACTCTTCTCTTGCTCATTGATGTGAGATATAAGTCAATATAAAAAAAATTAACAAAAATTAAGGGACTAATTTGTAAGTGATTCAAAAGTTAAAGGACTAAGTCATAGGCGAGTCATAGTTAAGGGATTGAGTCACAAGTGAATTAAAAGTTGGAGGACTAAAAGATTAATTTTTCCTATTTAATAATTTGAACCTTTGCTTTATTAAATTTTCGATATTTATACGTTTAATTTACTCGCTTTTCATAATGCCTAGCTGAATGCATTGATTGGGTTGCTCTGTGTCACGTATCGCAATGAGAGGCTACGTGCGCCATGACGTATGATCAAAAATCAGACTTAATTTGCTCATCTTTACATGCGAAATCAGAAGAGGAGGAAGGGAGAAAACGAAAGGCACATTTAAGGCCTTGCTAGGCACGACATTGGTTCCTATTGGTAATATTTTGAGGCTTCCAAACACTCAAGGTAAGTAATTCATGCTTTTCTCTTCCCTTTTCTACCATATTTATGAAGAGTCAAGTTAAGGTTTGAGTTGGGAGATTAATTTTTGGTCTATAGGAGCTATGGGTCTAAACCCATTAACTAAAATGGATATAATAAGAGTGGTTTAGAGTGTTTAAATCCTACCTTAATGATTTTATATATGGTTAGCTGATGGGAGTTATTAATATGCAAAAATTGTAATAAATGAGGTTGTTGATGGTGTTTATGGCCCATTAATGGTGGTTTAATGTCTCAATAGTGGTAATGTGAGTTAATGAAACCTAGTGAACCTAATGGGGATGATTTTATGATATTGATAAGAAAGGGATATAAGGTATTTAGTGTTAATAAATTTCCTAAAATGGGATAATAATGTTATCCTTATGGAATTATTTGTAGATCATTGTTATTGGACCATTCTAGAAATCATGCAAAATGGGCATCCTAGTAAAGTTGAAGAAATGAATTGGTCTCAAATTCTAATTAGTTTTAATTTGATTTTTATATATACAATCATATCCATATTCTCCTTATTTACCATATATAATTTGCCATCTCTATTTATTCGGTTCCAACTTTTCATTGATTATTGAAGCCGTTGGCTTCACGTCCATAAGCATATAGACTCACATTATGTTCAACATTCCTCATTCATCATAAGAATTAACTTTTAACATAACAGCTATTTTTGGCCAAAATAATTATTTTAATAATTGCAATATAATTATATATTATTCACAAAACAAAGTTAACTAAAGGGTTCTTAGACTAATGTACTCTTCTATGCACGGAAAATTGAATACATTGTTTATTGGAAAATTATTGAAATTAAAACTTGATATATTTCAGTATTCTCTCTTAGCTTTTTGTTGATAGGGATAAAATTTAGTATTCTATTTATGAAGGAGTTGGTGAATCTAGGGAACGAACAGGGAAATTCATGAATTTTGTCCATACAAGTATAACAGTACCAGAATGGAGTTCAAATTTAGCTAATTGTTAGTTTTTCTCTCCCTGAGTTTGGTAAGAACCAAAAACAGAAAACCTCCCTCTTTCTAACTTAGCTAGATTGTTAGACACTAAATACTAACCACTTCATCCTATATAATCCCCTTCCAATCCATTTCTTCTTCATTCTTTAGTAATTAATTAACAAATAGCTTGGAGAGATCTAGATATCATACAAGGACAAGTGCTTAGCTTACATATATATCATCATGGCTTTTCAGGGCATCCATGAAACTGTTTGGCACTTTGTTTTGACAATAATGATTGTGGCCATTTTTGCTACCAAGCTTGGTGATGCGAAGCAAGCAAAGATGAGTGGGTTAAGAATGAATGTGATTGATCAGTGTTGGAGATTGAACCCAGAATGGAGGAGACATAGGATACAGCTTGCCATGTGCTCTGTGGGCTATGCAGGCAAGATGACAAATAACATTGGGAAGGACGTGATCCACTATAAAGTCACGGATCCAAATGATGACCCCGTTAACCCAAAACCCGGAACATTGAGATACGGAGCCTCTGTGATCCAAGGCAAGGTTTGGATCACCTTCCAAAGAGACATGCACATCAAGCTTGCTAGACCCCTTCTTATCAGCAGCTTCACTGCTATTGATGGCCGAGGCGTTGAGGTCCACATTGCTCACAACGCATGCTTCATGATCTACAAGGTAACATCTATATATATGTGTATAGAGATCACTTCCATTGAATCACAAGCTTAAAGTTTAATGCACTCAAATTTGTTATGTGAATTCTAGGCAACCAACATTATCATCCATGGGCTTAGGATCCATCACTGCAAGCCTCAAGGTCCAGGGATGGTGATGGGTGGTGAAGGGAAGGTGATATCTCTGGGTCATGTAGATGGAGACGCAGTCAGATTGGTTTCCGCTTCAAAGATTTGGATTGATCACAACACTCTCTACAGATGCTCAGACGGCCTTCTGGATGTCACGAGAGGTTCCACTGACGTGACGGTGTCCAATAATTGGTTCAGAGATCAGGACAAGGTCATGCTCCTTGGGCACGATGATGGTTATATCAGAGACCAGAATATGAAGGTCACTGTAGTCTACAACCATTTTGGACCTAATTGCAACCAACGCATGCCCAGGTGATCCTCAATCATGCACAAATCAATATCAACTTCATCAGAAAAGACATTAAAATATGTGACTGTAACAAACATTCTTATAAACTTGTGTATGTTGCAGGATACGACATGGGTATGCTCATGTAGCCAACAATCTGTACCAAGGATGGCTACAATACGCCATTGGTGGCAGCATGGAGCCCAGCCTCAAAAGTGAAGCTAATCTCTTCATAGCACCAACCTCAGGAAGTAAAGAGGTAGACAACTAGACTTGTTTAACATGAATGTGAAACATGATACGACTCCATTCTATTCTTTTGAAGTATGGATGCTAGCTTCGTGGATTGATTAACATATTTATATATATAATGTGAGCAGGTGACGTGGAGGAAAAGTAGTAATGGGAATGACAAAGCATTGGAATTTCATTCCGTGAGGGACGTCTTTGAGAACGGAGCTTCCTTCACTGTAACAAAAGGTGGACAAGTGCCAAAGCCTAATTATAACGCCAACAAAGATTCAAAGTTGCAGATGCTTCATGTGTAAGGCCACTGACTATCTCAGCTGGCGCATTACGATGCAGTAAAACCTCAAGGTGCTGACTTCAGTTACAATGCGGGGATTTCAAATCTGAAGCAAGATTATTCTCTCAATTCGATTTGATGACTTGATTGATGAACCTGTGTATATATTAGCGGGCATTGTACCTTAAGAAGAATGTTGACATCATTTTAATGTTGCTGCTGATTACTCCATGTATTTATTTGTTCCATTTGGGACCCATAATATCTGGAAGTGATGATGAGTTATTTCATTTTATGTTACGTCACAAAGTGTTCAGAATATTCCGATAAACTAAACTACCCATATTTTCTCTAACAAAGCAATCTCGTCTTGAATCTAAACTCCGTCAACGAGCTGCAGGACTGCTTAGTGAAGCAACCTCGATATCTAATGTGCAAGATCCCTTTAAGGCGGCAGCATCAGATGATGACTGAATGAGAAGAGAGAGGCTCAGTACGATTTCTCCCATGCTTGGTCTTGACATTGACTTGCCCACTATGCAAGCCAGTGCCAGAGAAGCCAAGCCAAGAGCATCATCAATGGGATAAAAGCTTCCAAGCTTAGGATCCATCCATTTTCTAAGTCTCTCTTCTCTCTCTTCTTCCAAATCAAACATCCCCTTAAATTCCTTCCACAGCATCATCACCTCTCCTTTTTCATTCGTTTCCATGCCTTTCTTCCCCGTGAGCAACTCCAACAGAACAACCCCAAATGCAAAAATGTCTATTTTAAGCATCACAAGATTCGTGCAAGTTCTAGCCATGGAGAAATTAGCTATCTTGGCCTTGAATTTGGAGTCTAGAAGGATATTACTCGCTGTGATGTTTCTATGGACTATTCTGGGTTGAGTGTGATCGTGCAGGTATTGCAGACCCATGGCAACATCTAGTGCTATGCTTATCCTCTGACTCCATGTGAGAAATGACATACAATTTGAAGAATGGTCGGGATAAAGCCAATCATCAAGAGAACCATTTTCCGCATATTCATTAACAAGGAAGTAATTTCCATCATTGTCTGAAGAGACACCCCTTAACTTCACCAAATTTGCGTGATTCATCTTCTGCATCATTCTTAACTCCTCCTTGGCATTTTGGTCCCTCACTTTTTTAACTGCCACAACCTGCCCTTGAATTCTGGCTCGGTACACTGATTTCCCAATCTTGCACCTTTCACTGAGCTTCTTGGTAGCTTCCATGATCACACCTGCTTCGTACATGATTGGCTTACTTACATAGCAAGAAACCCCATGGAGTAGCTTGTCTGTCGTCTCCGACCTCAAATTATTCCTATTCAAACCCATCCTTTTCCTCCTCATACGGTAAGCGTATAGTAGAATCACTACAACAGAAATGAGAACAGCAAATCCCAAGAATGTACCAATGAAAATTGGAGCATGGTTTGTTTTGCCGTTGTTCTGAGATGAAGGGTGAGGTTGGGAAAGCGCAGGTAAGCTTCTAACAGGGATCAAAACTGGAAGGCTGGCTGAATTTGTGAAGTTCAGATAGTTATTTGCGGTTACAATGTCTATTGAAGAAGCATTAAACTTTGAACTTGTAATAAACAAGTTGTCATTGGGTTGCCACACATAGGTGATTAGAAACTTGATCCCCTTCTGCAATTGGGTCTTTGAAGGGCAACCGCAGAACAAAGGGAAAATTACAGTGGTCCCTGCTAGCAAGAGATTAGGGTCAAGAGTATCATTAAAAGCTTCTGCTGCTCGCCAATTGGTGAGATTCTCGAACTGAGAGGTTGAAACAAAGTGGAAGCTGTCACCTTTCTGCATGACATAGGAGATGTTAGCGAAGGAATGACTACCAGTGCAGCCACAAGTCACAGGTACAAGTAAGAGCTGGCCAGGAATCAGCTTATGGTTATCCTCAAACACTATATTACTGGCCCTCGCAATTGATAGAGGACTGACCCGAAATAAATCAGATATGTTGATTATGCTCAGAAAATTGGGAGACTGAGCAAAGTATGTGACGTATGTTTCACAGGAAGAAGGGGCATCAACAGGGCATGAAAAGTTTGCTCCTTTGTCAATGCTCAGTGGCTGAGCTGCTCTATGGGAAGTGGAAGAGACAAGAATTACTGAAAGAAAAAAATTTGCGGAGAAAATGAAGAAGCGGTCCGCCATTTTTGTTTGGGTTTGTAAAACCGGGAATGGAGGGTTTACGAGACAAGAAACTTTGGGCAAAGGTAGTGAATCTCAGCACAAGTTGATCATTTTTATATCCTAGGACAATGAATGTCTGTGTTGGTTTAGATTTTGACGTTTCTACTGAGAATCATTGATGTGGAAGAGAATGTTGAACTGCCCCGAACGTATACGCGTGAAGACGAAACCAGTTTGACGTCTTCACAAGATTTTAAAGGGACAAGGAGAATAAAATGATTAAATTAAATCTCGTTAGTTAACCCTTGCTGTGCTCTTCAGAGGTTGGACAGAATATAGAATATAATAAAATGGAATTCACCGAGTAACGATTATATGTTCGACTGTGCAGTGTTCATGCAAATAGCTATAAAAGTAAGCATCAGCAGTCAGAGTCACTTCTTCAGCTTAGCACGTTGAAACACTCATTAACTTACATTTTGCTTCGGAAGTATATTTCTTCCACTTTTAATTGGGTAAATTATTTATATCCTTTTTAATTTTCAATTACATGGCGAAAATTCTATATAATTTGATTTTCTTTCAAACAATTCATTTTCTAAAATTTTGATTATATATCCATGCTTCAAATTGATATGGAAAATATGATTTTGAGAGGAGTAGGCAAGTGACACTGAGAGGACGAAGAAAATATTGATTTGATACAGCCGACTGGGAATATAATATAGAATGATGCAGCATTAGACACGTGGAAGCGCATAATCTTTTTATGAAGCATCGAATAGTTTCTTGCCGGAGGAAAAAAATTAAATTAATTAATTAGTGAACCTCCAGAAAACAAAAGGTGTCGAGACCGAAACGGAACAGAATTCTCTCTTTGAGAACTGCTCAAGAGGCAAGTTTTCTCGTCGATAGTTGTTAAAAGCCAACCAGCATTCTTCACAGTTGTTAAATTATACAACTGAGTTTAAAAAACAGAACTTCTCAATTAAGACTAGTTGGATTTTCCTAACTTTCTTCCTAAATTTATTGTTATTTTCAGCCGAATACAAAAAGTCAGATAACATTCCACAAATACTAAAAGCAGAACTAGCCCCAATTCTTCTTTTGATTCTGACCTAAAATCATGTTTTTGGCATCCAATTTTTGTTTATAAATTTATAGTCCCTAAATACTTGACTTTTATTTCATCCCTACATTGCTTATGATAATTTGAACTTTAAATAATTTATATAATACTTGTAATAATATAAATATAAATTTGTATGTATCTTTAACTACAACAAAATATTCGGCATATATCCATTATTAATATTTTAAACATTCAAAATATTTTGTTTAATCTATTTTTTCCAAAACTTATTTTTATTTCCATTAAAAAAATAATAATTTCTATTACTTGAGCAAGACTTAATTTTACCATTCCTATATAATAGATTTTTGCACGAGAAGCATGGCAAAACAGCAATTGAAAAGGAATATTATAAATTTAAAATCCCCTTGAAATCTCACTAATTAATTTCATAAAAACCTTCTTACCGGAGATATTCAACCAGCCTACTTTATTATTAACTTACTACAAAACTTCGATTTATTCAATGACTGAGAGGAAAAGATACTTATTTCTCATGTCGAATTTCTTTCACTGCTTCCAAACCGACATCATGAGGACCACAGTTAATAAATTAATTTTATAAAAAGAAAGACAGAGAATAAACATAGTAGTACAGAAGAAAGTCCACGCCACTTTGCGAGCTAGCAGTAGAGTTGATGAATTGAATGCCAGCGGCCAGCAGGAAAGACCTAAGCCTGAAGGAAACTAGCAAACTTGGCACCTAAGAAAAGCCTTTGGATGCACAGCAGCGCATTTTTAGTGACCTCAGAGTTCTCATGATTCATCAGTTTCATCACTCGTTCTTTGGCTTTAAGGTTCGTCACGATGATCCTCCCAGCAGAATGGTAATTTATGAACTGTGAAAGATCAAAGCAAGCAACAGCCAGAGTCCTCGGATCCCCAGACGTGTCCAAAATTGTTATTAGGACTTTTAGAATCTGCAACATAGACCAACGATATCAGCACATTCATAGATAAACCCTTCTCTTCTCAGGAGATTATATATCATGGTACAATTAATGAACATGCAACAATTAAGGGCAATTCTAATTCTTCGTTTACTTGTTTCTCCTAATTAGATAATGAATTTGAATGATGTGGCTGGATTTTTTGTTAGTTTTTTTTTTTTTTTTGGATTCTCTGAATGATTTTTTGATTTATGATCATCCATGGATTGTTATGTGATTTGTTGATTTTTCCAAGGATTTTTCTTTTGTTTAGATTTTGGTTTGATTTTATCATATCTAATATATAATTTTGTTGTTTGGATTTTCCTTTCTCTTCTATGCTTTTTGTACCCCTCCCTATGGATTCTTTTTTTTCAACATTTTTATTATTTCTTCTCTCTGGGCCTCTTCCCATATCTTTTTGTAATGAATTTTTCCCTTTTAATTTGGTTCTAGGATTGAAGAGTTTTGGAAATAGGAACATGTTCTTGGGTTTTTTTTTTTTTTCATTAAAAAAGGTCCATTTTCAAACAGGCTGAAACGAGCCACTTTGGCCCAGCCCGTTTTGTGCAAAAGAGGACAAGGTTGCTGGCAGCCCGTTAGGCTAGCTCGTCCCTCTTTTCATAGGATTCAAAACCTTCTATCCATCTCTTCTCATTAGTGCCTCCATTAGTCTTATTTGAAACCTTAAATAATTGTCTATCATCTTCTCAACTATAAATGTCATGCAACACTTTCTTAAATATGGTCAAAATCTTATCTTTTCCTGCATGACCATGCATCTATCTCAACAGCCTTATCTTTGCTATCCCCATTTTTTTCCTACCATCTTCATCAGACCTATTAGAAATGGGAAACATTTAAACACACAATTATAATTACGTTTCTGCTGTAATCTGAGGTATTTGATGCAACGAAACACAAAAATATTCCAAAATATACAAAAAATGACACACATGTTGTGGTCATAGCTTTTCTTACATTCCAGGTATATCTCACCCATTATTTCTTTCTTTAAAAAACTACTGAATCAAGGGTCAAAATGCTATGAAACTCTCGAAGTGTCATGTCATGTGTAATCTATCCAATAAAAACAATCAAAATATAATGAGAAGTTGAAAAAGAAATACTTAGAGAGGGTAATAGTTATGCATTGAAAAGATAAATTGGATTCTCTTCATTGGATATAATATAAATAACATAGCACTTTTGGAGTATTCGATAAATTTTCTAAAGCTATATTTGAACTAAATTGTTAGACCATACTTTGCACAGAATGAGGTGAGCCATATTGTTCATGGCTTATTTTATTAAAAAAAAAAAAAACAGCTTCTCAGAAATTCTATATAGATATAAAAATTACTCATGCACAAAAAGAACTTAAATAATGCAATAAAGAAAAGAAATTGATTAATTTTGTCAAGGAGGGTTTTCTAGTCTGTTATCCTACTTCTACTCAGTTTTCTCCACTCATACCCCCTTTCTTTCTAGGACACTCATGTCTGAGCCATCGAGATGAAAAAAAATAAACTACTTTGCATTGACACGCCTTGGACCCACAAAAAATAAAAAGGTATTCGCAAGTCTGCATGGATGCCAACAGTGTATCATGGTGGTGGTGCTAGTCAAAGACAAGTCTGACACGTGACACATCTGAAATTAGGCAGATTGGTGCTTCAAAGGGTAATCTTACTATGAGGACTTAGACAGGGAAGCCAGACACTACGATATTTTAGGTGTCCAGATACTTCATGGATAATAGAAAGTAGTAAAATTTTTTTTTTTTTTTGGGCCGCCCAAGTGGTTAAATGTTAAATCTATATAAGGCGAAGTTTCAAAGACCAAGGCATTTGGCTTGCAGTTAGCATTATGTAATAAACATTTCCCATAAAACGGGAGCCCCATAAGCAACAATTGTATTCTTTTGGTGAACCAGGATAATGACTTCAACTTTTTCCTCCATATTCCACAAAATAATTAAAAAACAAAAACTAAATGAAAGTATTGTTATTCTTACAGTCGAAATAAGTGCATGATTAAATTAGTGACATGAGAAAAAAAAAAAAGGCAACGGAGAGATACCTGGAAGTCATTCTCTTCGAAATTGGTAATATTTTCTCGCCAAAATATGGGATCTTTGTGCATGGGAGACCAGTCCAGATTGCCAAAAAGAACTTCTTGCTTATACTTATCAAAAGAACTTAGTTTCTTAATGTTATCCTTAAGCCCTTCTTCCAGGTAATTTAGTGCCTCCAACAAGTCCTATGACAAGCCCATTGTCAATAAAAGTGTGTTGAGGAAGCACCAGGAAGTATATTCTCTCGAAAGAAAATACAGCAAGGCTACTCAACATCCAGATTTTACAAACTTCATGATGCATAATCTCAGATAATTCGAGCAAAACAATATGAATGTAATAAATATGGTCGATTCAAGGCAAAAAGAAGAGCTAATATAGAGGCATCTCATAATCAAAGAAAAGTGTATGCTTTATGAACATTCCTCAGTATGCCAGTGAGTTGACGACATATTTCAGGAATGCCAGCGGCAAACATGCAAAAGGAAAGAAGAGATCAAATAAATTCTTGGCAGCTATACAAGCCAATCATTAATAAATACCCGGGTAACAAATCATCACATAGGTAACCAAATTTCATTTACCACCATGAGAAGGCAAAAGTCATCAATTGCCTAGCAGTAAATTTTTCAATGGCCAATGGATCTAAGCAGATCTGATTTGAATAACTATTTTATGCATCCAAGAAAAAAAAATTGTGTGCTCTCTAATTAGAGGCAAGATTTTGAAAATTGAGACGAGAGTTTCCATCAAAAGAAATGCAAGTTGCAACAAGTAACTTTATTGTTTCCACAGGCCAGTGTACCTGTATATAACTAAACCTAAAGATTGTAAATATTGTCACAATAGTTTGAACCATATCTAAAACATAATAATTAAAAAA